GAGGCACCTGCACATCCATGTTTATTGCGGCACTATTCACAATAGCCAAGTTATGGAAACAGCCAAGATGCCCCACCACTGACGAATGGATTAAGAAAATGTGGTATCTATACACAATGGAATTTTATGCAGCCATGAAGAAGAACGAAATGTTATCATTCGCTGGTAAATGGATGGAATTGGAGAACATCATTCTGAGTGAGGTTAGCCTGGCTCAAAAAACCAAAAATCGTATGTTCTCCCTCATATGTGGACATTAGATCAAGGGCAAACACAACAAGGGGATTGGACTATGAGCACATGATAAAAGCGAGAGCACACAAGGGAGGGATGAGGATAGGTAAGACACCTAAAAAACTAGCTAGCATTTGTTGCCCTTAACGCAGAGAAACTAAAGCGGATACCTTAAAGCAACTGAGGCCAATAGGAAAAGGGGAACAGGTACTAGAGAAAAGGTTAGATCAAAAAGAATTAACCTAGAAGGTAACACCCACGCACAGGAAATCAATGTGAGTCAATGCCCTGTATAGCTATCCTTATCTCAACCAGCAAAAACTCTTGTTCCTTCCTATTATTGCTTATACTCTCTCTACAACAAAATTAGAAATAAGGGCAAAATAGTTTCTGCTGGGTATTGGTGGGGGGAGAGGGAGGGGGTGGAGTGGGTGGTAAGGGAGGGGGTGGGGGCAGTGGGGAGAAATGAACCAATCCTTGTATGCACATATGAATAATAAAAGAAAAATAAAAAAAATTAAATAAATAAATTAAAAAATAAATAAAGGCTTCGTTTCCTTTTCTTTTTTTTTAAGTGATTCTTCTTTGTAATTCTTTTTATTTTGATTGATCATTAATTTATCTAGAATACATCCTTGACAAAAGTAAAACATATCCTGCCAGGACTATTAGAAATACTGAAGTATCCGTTTCTTGCCTGCTTGTTCCTAACCTTAATTAGGCAAAGGTAGAAAAGGAAAAGGAAACTGACATTTGCTTTGAGTGCCTATTAATGCCAATAGCATAATACATTAGATAATATCATTTAGATTTTTATACATGAAGAAACCTAAAGTTAGAGAATTGCTCAGCCTCACAGCTATAAAATGGTAGAACAGGATGTTACCTTCTCTAGTGCACCATGCTACTATGAGTCATCTACTTTAGTCATAATATTCCACTTCTCAGAATTCTGTTGCTCCTGATTGCTTTCTTAAGAAAGAATTCTTTATTTTTAGTATATATTAAACAGCTGACATTTTGAGGCTAAGGACTTCCCATTATCATATTTATTAATATTTCTGAGTGTATATATATTTTTATGCCTTCCTACATTAAAATATAAGATTGCTGAGGGATGGGTTTCTTTTACTGTTACATTCCCAGTCTCCAGAATAGTGACTGGAACAAAGAAAACCCTCAATAAATATTTGTTGGTTGAATGACTCTTGAAGGGAAGTTTTAAATACAAGTGTACTGATAAGCACAGGTAAATAACTATAGTATAAAATGAGTGCTTCAGTGATCATCTCTAGCCAAGATTTTTAAAGCTGCACATTTAGAATTTCCAGGCTCAAATAGTAAGCTATCTTTCACCAGCAGATGGTGATATATACACAAGAAAGCTACCTTACATTAGTATGATCCTTTTCTGTTTAGAGCTTTTTCATAGCTGTCAGCTCATCTGATCTTCAAATCCACCTGGATGGAGAAGATTCCTTTGAATCAAAAGGAAGCTGAGTTTTAGATTTGTCCAGGGTTTTTTACTTAGTAAGTGCCAGAGGAGCTAAAGCTTTAAAAAAAAAAAAACACTAATTCCTACTTAAACAACTTCCTATTGTACTATCACAACTCTTCAACATAAAAGTTAAAATTGGCCAGCATTAGTATATCTTGAAACTTGGCCACCAATTAATAACTGCATCATCTGGTACAAAGTTGAACACACATGAGTATGTTAATGCCATAAATAATTTTAAAATCTCATGCTATTCAATTTTAAAATTTTTTCCATCAAGTTTTTGCCTGAAGTAAACAAGAGACAAATTAACCAATTCAAGTTTCACTTTTGGCAATGGAGGTCTACTTATAAGAAGAGAAATGTCCAGAAGACCAGTAGTAAGGAAGAAAAGAAGCATTACAGGACTGACCATCGTAGAAAACAAATCATCAGCCAGTAAATAGTCAACTACACAGATACCTATTAGATGACATAATGAGGAACATGGGAAGAAAAAATGTTGTTTGTTTGTTTGTTTTTGAGACCAGGTCCCACCATATAGCCCAGACTAGCCTCAAACTTTTAATCCTCCTACCTCAGTTATCTTAATGTTGGGATTACAGGCATTTAAGACCATGTCCAGCTGGAAGAGATGTTTTAGGCATGTTCTATGTTTGGTTTGGAAAGAAAAAAACAAGAATTCTGTACCTCTCCAGGACGGATCTTGATGAAAAAACTGCTACGTTTATAAGAAATCTTTAGCACTTTGGGCCAAGGAAACCGGTTAATTCTCAATTTATCTTTGTAAACCAAAAGGCCACTAGAGCAGACACCCAAGATGATGTCCACTCCCTCCAAGTCCTAAAAAAGAAAAGCACCAGCATTTTAATCTTGAGCAAAGAATTCAATGCATTATTGGCTATTATTAGACAGCCCAAAGATAACAGCAACCAAAACCAGTTACAAAGTATGCATAAAACTTAATCTAACAATCATAATCCATGAAAGTATTATATCTAAGTCAGCAAAATGATTCCCTGGAGGCCAGGACTTAGGGCTATGTATTACTACTAAATATACATGTGCAATTATAATTTTTTTCCACTGTTCCTGGGCAGGCACTCTATCACTTGAGCCACACCTCCAGCCCCTCAATCCTTTTATTTATGCCTCCAGGTAGCTGGGATAACAGGTGTACCACACTATACCCTGTTTTTTATTGGTTGAGATGGGGATCTTGTTAACTTTATGCCTGGTCTGATCTTGAACCCTGATCCTCCTAATCTCCACCTCCAAAGTAGCTAGGAGTACAGGCATGATAAAGTGATAATCCCTTCAGATATCATGTTAAAAGTTGACTCTGTACCTGTATAAACCCAGCATAAGAGAATCTCAAATATTTAAAATAACTAACATTAAGCATATTAAATTATAAACCTAGAAGAAACATTAAAGCAAAATGAAGTCACATTTACATGCCTCTTCCCCCCCCCCGCCCGGCAGTACTGGGATTTGATTCAGGTCTTCACAATTGTTAGGCAGACGCTCTACCACTTGAGCCATACCCCCAGCCCAACATGCCTCTTTATTAAAGAAATTTTTTAAAACATTAATCATCTATGTATTTCAAGGAAAATAAACTTCACCTCAGCTAATCTTTACAGATGGCTATTTCTTTAGCTAAGTAATCAAAACCCAAGTTAAATGCTTCTTGACTGCTTTTATCCTAAAATAAGTATACAGAAAAACATTAGTGCCTACATGTGTTATGTAAAAGAATTACAGAAACTATATACAACTTCAATTCACTGATTACATAGCTGAGAATTTACCAGAAGATGCCCTGCTATGTTTTTAAAGACTTTGGGTACAACATCTCTCTTTTAATGACATACTTTGGAAAAACAATTTGCTTTACAATATTTGGGAGAGGAACATGCTACCTGACTATTTCCTCCAACTCTGATTGACGCCAGCCTTCAGCAGGAAAAGAACCCTTTCTCTCACAATCTCTGCAACCTCCCCTGTCATTTTAGTAGCTGAAGATGAGAGAAGTCAAGCAACTTGTCTCAATTATTTACTGTCAGACTGTATTAGGCTGAAATGGATTAAAGCACAAGTTTTTGATGTCCCAACACAGTGGTTCTCAAAGGAACACCGTGGTTCTATCAGTATGCATTAGAATCACTTGGACAGCTTGTTTAAAAAGATTGTGGAGCTCCACCCCCAGCTTCTGATTCAATAAATCTGGGATGGGGCCTGAAAAGTGCATTCTAACAATTTCCTAGGTGATGCTAAATGCCTCTGACTCAGAGAGCACATTTTGAGAACCATGACCTTAGGCCAACATTTCTCAGATTCAAACATGCATTAGAATCATTCTGGATGCTCATTAACTGTGGAGATTCTGAGCCTCTGCTTCCAAAGTCAATCTATAAATCCAGGAGGAGCTCAGCATTCTGCATATTTAGTAGACTCCACAGGTGGTTCTGATATAGCTAATGTTGGCTATGAAATATGCCTTGCTACCACTCTTCAAATGTAACTGATTTAGGAAAATAAATTTGTTTATCTTTAGATGTTATGATCTTTATATTGGCTTGGTTGTGAAAATTAATCTGATGGTAGAATTGCAAGGGGTAATTCAACTGATGCACTTAAAGTTTCTGTCTCTCTCCTTACTCTCTTTGTCTCTTTCTCAAGAAAAGATCTCACTAAGCAGCACGGGGTGGCTTCAAATTAAAGATCCTCCTCCCTCCCCTTTGCCTCCTGAGTGCTGGATTATAGACATGACTGACCATGCCTGGCACTATTTCTTTTGAATGCTTTAAAATACCACAGATAAATGATGATGCCAGGTATCAGTGACTCTAGCTACTTAGATGGCAGCGATCAGCAGCCTGGATCAGCCAGCCTTGGGCAAATAATTCACAATACCCTATCTCAAAAAAATACTCAACACAAAACAGGGTGGTGGAGTGACTCCAGTGGTAGACCACCTGCCTAGCAAGTGTGAGGCCTGAAGTTCAAACCCCAGTACCACCCAAAAAAAAATCATGATGATGATGGTAAAAAGTGTACCATATGAAACAAGTGTGACATATGCATAACAGACCTGTCATATAATCATATTAACGAAGGACAAAGTTATTACCTTTGCTTTATGAAGATCAACTCCATACATAGACAACTTTTTGGCATTCTCAAGAAATTCCAAGTCAGCCTGAGCTGGAGTCATGGACCTTTGACAGAATAAACATAAAAAATTCAGTGTCATAGTATCACATTCTTGGTAATAACAATTGCATATTCATTGTACTGTATATAAAGACATAAACATAAGTATACATATATTAATATTTATATAAAATATATTTCAGAGTCCTGAAAGTAATTATGGAATGAGAATCTTTTCATTACCTGTGTCTAAACAATTCAAATATGTTCAGAAAATAAAATTTTAATTCTACTAACCAATTTCCTTAAAGCCACTCACTCTACCCATCAACAGTCTGTATCCTTTCCCTTTGGCCTGTTTTTGCACCATACAGAAACTCCTCCTACTAATTGTCTTGCCAAGATGATCAAATTAAATCCTCAGGGGGCATGGTGCAATTTACAAGATCCTCTTGGCTGCTTTTTTCTCTCTATACCCCTGACTTGAATTATGGAAATTAAACAAGAGGGCAGCTGATGTTACTTGACTGGGACTCTTACTGGGGACAGGTTTGATGAAAAGAAAATTTCTGGTAACAGATGGTGTCCTGTCCACTAATCTAAACAAAATAAATTGGTTAACAGAAGCACACAGATAATGGGACTGCTTTTTGTTATTAAGATGTTTCCATTACTAGACACATAATGAATTAGATTTGTTTGAAAACAGTCTCACTGTAATAACATTCATTGTGAAGGTCTTCTTTAGAATTTTCTTTTCTTTTGAAAATTGCTCATGAGCTGTTATGTTGAGCTTTCAAGACAAAGATATCATTCCTAACAATGCACAATTCAGACCCATTAAATATAACTTCATAGCAACAATAATGCAGCCACCTCCCCAAGAAAAACAACATAGAAGTGCCAGTTTTCTCCCCAAAACTGCCCTAAGCCAGAGGAAGCAGCAGGGGTCTCTCTTCATTTGAGAAGGAAAAGTCTCTTCCAAATCCATCAGTCTTTATCCTAATTAAAAAGAACAAAGGATTCCTTGTTTGGGGGTGGGGTGCCACAGGGTAAAGACAAAAAGGGAGGAGGGATGGGAAAATTAATCCATATGCAAGTCTATATATTCAAATCATTCAAAACATCCCAAGAAAGTTGTGTAATTGTCAAGTTTTTTTTCCCATGTAAGTGATGTGCTTTTCTAGTTAAGGTTATTCCCAGCTATTTTATGTTTTATTTATTTATTTTTTTCCTACTATTATTAATGGAGTGAATTTTAGGACTTTGAAACTGAAATAGAATTTAAAAATTACAGAATTCAACATTTTCATTTTGCTTATAAAGAAACCTGCCCAAGGGCTAGGGGCATGGCTCAAGTGGTAGAGCTACTGCCTAGCAAGTATGAGGCCTTGAGTTCAAACCCCAGTGAGAAAAAAAAAAAAGGAAGGGAAGAGGAAAGGAAGGAAGGTAAGAGGGGAGGGGAGAGGAGGAAAGGTCTGTGGGATCATATGTCACCAAACAGCAGGTTTAAATTAGCACTCAAGTCACATTACTGGGCTAGAATCCTAGTTCCTGCACTTGAGTTATCTCCCTCAATGTATTCTATAAAGTAAGAATCAATAATGATTATTTCCAGATACTAGGAAGGCAATGATTTTTTTTTTTTTTTTTTGGTTTTTGCTGAATAAATGAATGTGACTATTAGGATCAAATGAGGTAACAGTTGTTGAAAACTATTCTGTAAACTATGTTTATTATGATTACAACTTTAATTTTCTAACAGTCCAGTGGTCCATCTATTCAGATCATAAAGAGAAATAATTTGGATCACCTGAGTATGTAGGCAATTTTTAAAACATTAAATGAAATCTTCCCTATATTCATTCTTTCAACCCTAAGAGGTGCTGATAGCTCACTTTGAATATACATTTAAATTTCAAATTATATATATAGGTGAGCATGCTTTAAAATTGTAGTAAGGAGGGGAAGTAAGAGCTCTTTTAATTCTTTTGTTAGTTGAAAATACTTACATCTGAAGTTGAGTTGATATTTGTACTTAAATATTTTATATCATATTCAGATTTTTTTGGGGGGGGATGGTGTTACTAGGGTTTGAACTCAGGGCCTCATGCTTGCTAGACAGGTGCTCTACAACCAGTTACTTTTAGATTTTTAAACAATTATGTTTCTTAAAAGTCATGTACAACAGAAATCATTTTGTCCCAAACCATTTCAGAGTAAACTGCCAACCTGATGACCCATCAATCCTGAAACCATTTGTAATACCTCCTACAAGTAAGGACTTTTTTCTAAAGAATATCAAAGCCAGAAAATTAATACTGTTAAATACTGCCATACAAACCTAAAATCCCACTCAAGTTTGGTCAGTAGTCACAGAATGATACAGTTTAGTGATACAGAATGATAATAGTTCCTTAACCTTTGATTCTAGCCAAAGATTTACAGATCCATATCCCCAGCCCCCAGGTCTTTGACAGGAGTATCACAGTATTGAGGTGTCCTCACTGCATCCTATCAGGTGGTCCATGATTTCAATTTGTCCCTTCACAGATGATGTTCATTTTGATCACTGATATCTCCCAGACTTTTCTCTGTGAAATTCCTTTCTTTGTAACTAATAAGCATTTTATGGGCATGTTCTTGAAACTTTTTGAATGTCCTATTCCTTATCAAACTTTCAATGAATTTATTTATTTACATTAGCGTGGCTCAATGTGGACTTACAGATTTTTTTTTTAACATTGCTAGGCATAGAACCAGGGCCTTGTATGTGCTAAGCAAGCAGTCAACCACAGATCCAGTCTAAATTCTCACTTCACTCAATGCAATATGATGAATTATTTTCCTTATTTATTTTCTTGCTTAAATTATCCCAGATATGGTCAGTGGGAGCTTCTCCAAGCTGGATTCTCTGTCCTTCTAAACATTTCTCATTATTTTTGGAGCATCCTCCAGTACAATGTAGTTAGAGTATACAGGTACATGTGTACCTATTTACATCTGTATTTCCATAACCATTTATCTCTACATATTGGAAATCAGGACTTCACAATGAAACATCCAGTTTTAATGCAATGCCACAGGGTTCATTTTAGCTTCTCCCTTTTCGTAATTTCATTTATTGACTCTCATTATCCTGATTATGTTGATTAATTTGATCAATAGTCCCTTTTTCGCTATCCCATATATAGTCAATCTCTCATTGCTGTCACTGACCACTCCTCAGTGGAAGATCTCCTCATTCTGCTTATACCCTGAACTCCTCATCCTGAGCTGCTCCCCACACATGGATCCCCTCCTTACCTCACTCAGTTCTAACTCTCAGTGTTAGACTACCTTTTCTATGGACTCCTTCTTCACCCTGTTCACCAGGTACTTGCCCTCTGCACCCTTCATGGGCCTTACCTCCACATGTACGCCCTTCCTGATCATTTAACCTGTGAAATCCACCACTCAGTGCGCACACCTGATTACCTGCCTCATCCATTTAAGTTGTAACTCCTCAAGCCAGGCTGCCCTCTAACCCACTCACTCTCGCTCTGCTTAGGCCTCAAAAATCTTAAGCCAAACTGTTCCTCTACATGGGTGACCACCTTGCTTCACCCCACCTAATAGCCTAGAAAGATTTTTCCAATTACAAAAATCATGAACATTCATCGTGTAAAATTTGGAAAACATTATTAAAAGCACAGGAAAAAAAACACAGCAGGGAAATCTCCCATAATCCCACCAGCCACAGACATCTGTGCAAGGAAATATGTTTTACAAATTAATATCACAAATTTTAAATATTGTCACCTTAAAAAATGTGAAGATCAATTTTTCCTAAAGTTTCTAACATCTTCGAAAGTCATCACAAATCAGCTGCAAAGAGATTTAGCTATCTCTAAGCCATTATGAGTACTGTCCAGAATCGACTCAGTACTACCTAACAATTTACCACTATCATTCTGCAGTTTACAAAGTACCTAACCTGGGAGCTCTGGAACTAGCTACCTCTTGCTTATTACAAAGAGAAGTTATAACACACTTTCTCTGTATTTTTTTAAATTTCAAATGGGCTCAGGAGAGCCATTCAAGTGAGTTACACTGTTATATGACAGCCTCTTAATAATGTTTGTTGCATCTCCTAATTAAGGATTGAGATTTCAAATAATTAAGTGGGGAATAACTGACAAGTTTGCATACCTTCTAAATACCCATAAATGGAGGGTAATTAATTTTAAAGCTTTATTGCTAATACCAATTTGAAAAGTTGGTAACAGCTTCAAAGTCCCTGTCTGGGCAAAGGGTCAATGCTACAGTTTCCACATACGTAGGCTGCCATCTATTTTTCTGAGAAGTAGGATGGGTATTATTGGCTTGTTCTTTTTAACACATAAGTAAAATGCTTATGTTTCAGCAGAAATTTCTTAAAGCATCACGTTGTTGGACATGATTAAATTTTCCATTTTCTGCTTATGAGGATTCCCAGTCCTTCAAAAAAGAGCAAGTGAATTCCAATACGATTGACTTTTTAAAAAATTTTTATTTACTTTTATTTTTATTTTATTTCTTTTATTCATATGTGCATACAATGTTTGGGTCATTTCTCCCCCCTTTCCCCTAACCTCTCCCTTTCCCCACCCCCTCCACCCTCACTTCCGAGCAGAAACTGTTTTGCCCTTATCTCTAATTTTGTTGAAGAGAGAGTACAAGCAATAATAGGAAGGACCAAGGGGTTTTGCTAGTTGAAATAAGGATAGCTATACAGGGAGATTCCTTGCATTGCTTTCCTGTACATATGTGTTACATTCTAAACCAATTCTTCTTGAACTAACCTTTTCTCTTGTTCCTGATCCCCTTCTCCTATTGGCCTCTGTTGCTTTAAAGTTTCTGCATGAGTTCCTTTGCACTGAGGGCATCAAATGCCTTCTTGTTTTTTGGGTTTCTTACCTATCCTCATACCTCCCTTGTGTGCTCTCATCTTATCATGTGATCAAAGTCCAGTCCCCTTGTTGTGTTTGCCCTTGATCTAAAGTCCGCATATAAGGGAGAATATACAATTTTTGGTCTTCTGGGC